ACACACACACACACACACACACACACACACACACACACACACACACACACACACACACACACACACACACACACACACACACACAAGCATGCACCTCGTCAATGGAGAGGTATTTTCCCTCTTCAAGAAACGCTTTGACGTTTGCGAGCGTGATCTTCGCTGTTGCGCCACCAGGCACGATAATAATGGGTGTCTAGCGACCACACGGGGACGGCAGAGTAAAGCGTGCGTGTGTGCATGTGAACGCGTGTATCCACAAGTTTCACGTGTGTGGGAGCGAATGAGCAGATGATATCGACAGGGCAGAACAAACACACATGTACAACCACATAGAGCCAGACACACACACACACACACACATGCATACGCACACAGTCTGGCCTCATCATGACTCGTACCTTTGATGTGCGCTTCTTTGGTTTCGGTTTTGGCTTTGGCGCGGCCTCTGCTTGCTTCTTCGGCTGCTGAAGGGCAACAGGAGATGTGAGTGATGAGAGACGGTTGGCACACATGAGGGCGGGTGCACATGCCAGCGAAGATAATTGTCAGTCAACCCAACACACGATGCATGGAACACACAACAGCAGACACCAAACAGACACACACACACACACACACACACACAGACATACACACAGACACACACACAAAAGACACAGACACACACACACACACACAAAAGACACAAAAGACACACACACATACACACACAACACAGACACACTACCTCCTTTGGCTTGTCCTCGTTGTAGATGGTACCAGGCTGGTAGTTGGTACCCATGATATCGACGTTGCCGTACGAGTCCTGCTGGGGCGCGGGCTGGTTGTAACGCTCGTATGTGGGCGCTGACGCCTGCTGGGACTCCTTGCTGCCCTTGTCCTGCTGATCGCCCTTGTCGCCCTTGCCTTTCTTCCCTTTGCCGTTGAGCATGTTGCGCGTTGTCTTGAGCACGTTGACAAAGCTCTTGCCCTTGGCCTTGAGGACGGTTGTTCTGGTCTGGAACACCAGCTCGTTCTTCATGATGTTGCGCGTGGCCTGTGATGCCTTGAGCGGGGCGAGCCCAGCCTTGCTTACCCGCTGCTCATGCTTCTTGGGCTGTTGCTCCCGTTGCCTGTCTGTGGCTGACGGTGCTGCTGCTGCCTCTGCGGCCTGGCCCTTGGCAGCGGCGCTCCCATCAGCGCTGGTGGCTTCCTTGTCGGCCATGGCGGATTCCCCTTCCTGTCGCGCGCGCTTTGCTGCGAGCGCACCCTCCTCGTGCGGGGCTGCTCTCTTTGCAGACATGCCCTCCTCCTCGTCAGCCGCGGCCTCGTGGGCTGCTGCTGACGACGCGTCGGCCCTCTGCTGCCGCAGCTCCGCGGGCATGGCGAGGTGTGTTGGTGCTGTTGGGTCGACGGCATCGGACTCCTTGATTTCGCCGAGCAGGTACTGTTGCAGGTTTACTCTGTCAACACGGGAGACTGCGGGGACGCTTGCTTGCAGCGCTTGCTTCATGTACTCACCGTGCTTCTCATCCATGTGCTGGATGAAGAAGAACACGGCCTCGTTGGACAGGAACGCGCCTTTGCGCGTCTTGTAGTTGGTGTGGGCCTTGGCGTCGATCATCCACTCCCCAACGATGATCTTGCCGTCCTCAACGCGCCCACTGCGCCTGTCCTGCGCAAACCGACGCAACAGCGTCAGGCTATCGGGCGTGTCCATCGTCGGTGCGCTTCTGTGTGGAGAGAGTCGAGTGGTTGAGTGTGCGCGTGTGTTGAGGGTGGGTTGGTGTTGGTGTCGGTGTTGGTGGTGAGTGTGGGTCGTCTGCTTGCCTGCTGTCTGCGTTGTCTCTGCGTGCAATTTATGCTGTCGCGTAACGTCCACACTTCTGAAACGGATCTCGGCGGTCGCTGCTTGTCGATCTTGAACACCCTTCACACTGTCGCCCGCATCATGGCCATGTTGGTTGCTTTGGTGGTGGCAGTGGCGTTGGCGGCGACAGTGTGCTTGCCAGCGGCACAGCCTGTGGCTGCACTGTCTGTGGAGGAGGTGGCGAAAGAACACGCGAAGCACAGCCTCGATTTCGACGGCACAGACGACTGGGTGAACCTGCCACCCATCACCATTGACGAAGGCACGCAGGGCGTGTCCTTCGAGCTCGTCTTTCAGCACACTGACACCAGAGCCTGGGCCAGGTATGTGAGTGTGGGTATGCGTGTGTGTTTCGCACACAGAGTGTGCGTACGTTTGCATTTTGCGCGTGCGTGCGTGTGCGTGCGTGAGTGTAGTGCAGTGGCAAAGGTGCCAGCCCAAACTGCAGCAGCAGCAGCAGAAACACTCGCGTTGTGAGCTGATGCCTGCAGTGATGTGATGTGACATGACTGCACCTCGCCTCTGCAGGTTGTTCCAGCTTGGGAAGGTTGACGGCACGTACATTGCCTTTCTCCGGGATGACCCAAATACAAACGGCAACCGCATCTTCGTGGAAACGCGCCAGGTGCCTTGCTGGTTGTATGCCGCTTGACCAAGCCATTCATACATGCGTATGCATTGCCACGCACACTTGCTTGGTGGCGATCATGCATTCATAGTTGTTGTGCTGCGATTCGTGCTGTGATGTGATGCGACATTCGATTCCTCACGCTACATTTTGTGTCTCTCGCCAACGCCTTTCTGTTGTGTGACCCCTCTGTGCTCGTTGTTTTGTTGTTCAGGGGATGGACATGAAGACAGCTGTGCGTCAGTCAACGTTTCCAACCACGCTCAACACGTGGCACCACGCCGTCATCGTCATCGCCTCCAGTGGCCAGCTGGACCTCCATGTTGACGGCGAACAAGTCGTCACAGGCATGCTCACGGTGCGGGCGTGTTGGACGGATGAAGGAGAGGGCGTAGGGGTGGGATATGTGGGTTGCACCTTCTGTGTTCACAGCAGTGTGTTCTGTGCGAATGGCCGGACACCAATCGCATCGGATCGCACGCATGCTGTCTTACGCGCTTGTTTACCGACACATGAGCTACCTCGATGCCTCACCCAATTACACACACACACACACACACACACACACACACACACACACACACACACACACACACACAGCTGCCGCGTGGGCTGTTTGACGCCAATGCCATCGGCGGGACCACGCGAGACGCGCGCCATCGCGGCCGCATCGCTCTCTTCCGCATGTTCTCCAAAGCGCTCTCATCAGCGGAGATTGACGCCCTGTTCACGGCCACATCCGTCCCCGGCAGCACGGCTGCAGCGCTGCTGGTGGACTACGAGTTCCACTCGGGATTTGGTCGCTTTGCTGTTGACACCTCAGGCAACGGCAAGGACGGCCAGCTCCAGGTCAGTGTTTTGTACATGTGTGTGCATGTGTATGTGTATGTGTGTATGTGTGTGGACGCAGGTTCATCTCGCGTCAGTCTGTGTGTCGTGTCACTGTGTGCCACACGACCCCCCCCCCCATCCCCACTGACTCACCCTGCAACGATGACACGGTCTCTCTCTCTCTCTCTGCAACACACACACACACACACACACACACACACACACACACACACACACACACACACACACACACACACACACACACACACACACACACAGGGCTTCCCGTTGTGGACGGGGTTTCCACTGCCCAACGATGAGATTGGAGCGTCCAGCGTGTCGTTCACCCAACCCGAGGACAGGGCTATGCTCCCAACATTCACGTTTCAGGGCGGCGCCATCACCGTGGATGCCGTGTTTGCGTTTGACGAGCTGCGGGCGTTTGACCGCGTGTTTTCCCTGCGCGCGTCGGAGGAAGATGAAACGCATTTAGCGCTTCTGAAGAAGGACGCGGCCTCCAGCCACGCCCTCGCACTGGAGCTCAAGGTCCCCAACACGGACGGGGCCGTGTGCGACCCCAGCAGCCCCGTGTGCGTGTACACCATCACCAACACGCGTGCGCCAATCACGCAGGGACGGTGGACACACGTCGTTGTCACCGTCACAGCGAGCGGAGACGCACGCATGTATGTGGACGGCTCTCTCGTGGCTGCAACAGCGCTCCCCACCCTGCCTGCGTTTGTTGTTGGCGCCGGTGCCATCAGCGGCTGCAGCCACGCCGTTGACGGCTGCCAGCTGCGCGGTCGCATCGCGCGTTTGCGCATGTACGAGCGCGTGCTGACGTCAGAAGAGGTGCAGAACGCATTTTATGACGCAGTCGTCCCCGTACAGCACCCAACCGTTTTGTTTGCGTTTGATCTTCGCGAAGGCGTTGGCCGGGTGCTCAAGGACAGCAGCGAGAGTGCGCCCGTCCTCGACGCCACCATGCGCGGCTACCCACGCTGGGTCTCTGCTGCCGTGACGCAACACGTGAAAGCGATTTCATCCAAGCACATGCGCTTTGGGGGCGGATCCTCTATCCTGCCACTGGAGCCCCTGCCCACGAGTTTGAATGAACTGACCATCGAGATGGTGTTTCGGTTGGATGCGGGCGGCGACACGACGCGTTTCGAACGCGTGCTCTCGCTCAGACAGAGCGAAACAGACGCAACGCATGTGGCCATTGTGCGCGACCCAACCGACAACGGCAGGTTCTACTTTGAGATCAAACGCCCAAGCACCGACATCAGCGGCGGGTGAGTGTGCATGCTGTTGAGTGTTGATGTGTATGTGCATGTTATGCTTGTGAATGTGTGTGTGTGTGTGTGTGTGTGTGTGTGAATGCGAGTCTGTGTGCGTGTGCGTGTGCATGTGAGTGCAGACCGCATCGTAGCCAATGCCCTCCACGCCCCATCCACCATCCACCATCCACCATCCCCTCAACTTCAACTTACGTCGGCTTCCACTGCCCCTACAACCATCAATCAGGTTTGAGTACTCGCAGCTGCACCAGTCGACCATCCCTGGCGATGATGATGCGTGGCACCACGTCGTTGCCACTGTCACCGCTGCTGGGCGCGCCGCCCTGTTTGCTGACGGCTCACTCGTCGCGGAGGGCGATGTTGGCGCCGTCCCAACCGGCCTCGCAATCAACGGTGGGGCGAGTATTGTGTGTGTGTGTGGTGTGTGTGTATGTGTGTGCAAATGTGTGTGCATGTGTGTGCATGTGTAAATGTGCGCATGTGTGTGTGTGTGTGTGTAAATGTGTACATGTGTACATGTGTAAATGTGTGTGTATATAAGTACACGATGCAGCATGTGTATACCCTCAGCTCACGATCGCCACCACCACCACAACCATCCTGCAGCCGTGGGTGCTGATGCGGTGGATGGCGACCATCTCCGCGGCCGCGTCGGGCTGGTGCGGTTTTACCGCCGCGCCCTCACCCCCAACGAGGTATCGTGGCGTGGGGATTGAGTGGCTGGAAGCGTTGAAGGCGGGAAGGCGGTTGATGGTGGTTCTCGATGTGTCGATGGACGTGAATCTGTTCACTTGTTGCCACACACACACACACACACACACACACACACACACACACACACACACACACACACACACACACACACACACACACACACACACACACACAAACACAATCAGGTGTTTTCGCTCATGCGACCTGGTGTGTGGCGGCTGCACGAAACATACGGTCACGTCACACTGCCATCCCGGCCAACGTTTTGGAATGACGCAATCGTGAACATTGAGTTTGAGGCACTGGATGGCTCCACGAGCGTTGTGGACAGCGTGACAAACACGACGCTGCAAGCGCAAAATGCGTTTGTTGGCAGCCAGCCCTCCTGCATAGGTGGCGCCCTCGTATATCTACAGGTGCGAGTTGTGCGTGTGCGTATGTGTGTGTGTGTGTGTGTGTGTGTGCCTGTTTTTGTCTGTAGATGCCTTTCGTGTGCATTTTCAACGCATAACAAACCAACGTCCATGTACTTGCGTGCATCACTACAAGGTGTCCACTGCCGCTGCGCCCGGCAGCGAGACAGCTGCAACCATCACCGCCACTATCAGCAGCGCAGACACCACAGCACGCATCCCATTCCACATGCTGGCGTAAGTTGCGACGCTGTACACGGGTGATTCATCTGCTTGCAGGCATGCTTGCACACATATTTACATGGCACGGTGCGTGCTTGCGTGCGTTTTTATCGTCCACGTTGCAACATTCCTCACTCATTCACAACCACGCAAGCCCTCAATTTATGTTACACACCACCACTGTTCTTCGTGTTGTCCTGTGGCGCTGTACAGCGCCAACTCGGTGGCGGAGGGCGTTGCCTGCTTTCCCAATTCCGCAACTGAAGTGACTGGCGTTTCGTTCCACAACCCAACCACCGACGCGTGGCTGCTGCAGTACGCCTGGCTTCGGCTGCCTCACAGGTGGGTGCAAGCTCGCTGCCAAAGCGGGACGTGCGATGCACATGAAACTTGCGGTCATGGCATGCAATGACCTTACAAGTGCACACACACACACATGCACACACACATGCACACACACACATACACACACACACACACATATGAGCAGGGCGGTGATGTGGGATCCATATGCGGTTGTGTCGTCCCCGAATGCGTCGTCAATCTCGCTGCCGTTTTCATCGTCGCTGTCCATCACCGGCAGCGACTGCGGCGGTGATGAGTCACTGTTCGTCATCACGCTCAACACCGCGCCGCCAGGTGAACAGCAGAGGCGTGCGGAGGGAGGGGATGAAGTACGTGTGTGTGTGTGTTGTGTGTGTGTTGTGTGTGTGTTTTGTTGTGTGTGTGTGTGTGTGTTGTGTGTGTGCGTGCGTCTTTTCACCTTCGTGCTCGCGGCATGGCTGCTGCCACCATGTGCTCTTGTGTACACGCCCTCACTCATCCATATCTGCCCCTGTACGCACCATGGCTTCCTCCATCCCATGGTATCTGCCCATCGCGGCATCAGGTGCACGCGGTCTGGCCAGTGCCGTCATCTCTGGCGCCAACGGCAATTCGCAGCCGCAGCCGCTCGCATCCATCTTCCCGCCAGACTCGTCCATCACGTGAGCGGCATGTGTGCACTGGTGTTTGTTTGTTTGTTTGTTTTGTTTGTTTGTTTGTTTGTTTGTTTGTTTGTTTGTTTGTTTGTTTGTTTGTTTGTTTGTTTGTTTGTTTGTTTTGTTTGTTTGTTTGTTTGTTTGTTTGTTTGTTTTGTTTGTTTGTTTGTTTGTTTGTTTGTGTTTGTGTGCGTGCGTGTGCGTGTGCGTGTGAGTGAACGCATTGACTGTCGGCTGTTGTACATTTGTTGCCTGCTCATGTCCAACAATATCAACACATCCCCCTCGCATCTGCTCACTCCTCTGCCTGCCCTTTCCGTTCAGCGTTGCTCGCTGCGTGGACAATTCTATTGGAGCGTTTCGGTCGCTGTCTGTCCATTTTGATGGGGAGGACTCGGCCTGGACGCTGAAACGCGTTTCGCTGCAAGTTCCCAACGCGGGTGGTGACGCAACGACATACACGTGGACATACGGGCGCGCCCTGCGTAATGCGCCTGGGTCCAACTCCCGAGTGACGTTTTCCAAATCAGACCACGATGCTGTCGATGTTGACACGTGTGCGCCAACGCGGCTGGTGTTGATTCAGGTGGACGCAGCGTCCAGTCCTGCCGCCATCACCAACAGCACCATCACATTCCGCATCCAGGGCACCACCGCCATCTCGCCGGTACAAATGAACCTTGTGCTGCTCTGTTGTGGTGTGCTTGTGTTGTTGTGTTGTTGTGTTATGTATTGTGTTATATTGTGGTATTGTAGTATTGTAGGGTGTGTTGGCGCCGATGTGTTGGCGCCGATGTGTGCACGCTTGCTCGCCATTACCAGTGCTTTTCTATTTTTGCCTTGCAAGGCATGCTTCCCGCCACAGTCAACCACACCGCCACACGACAGCACCATATGACCGCCTCCGTTGCCTTCAACATATCACCACCGCCACATTTTCATCAGGCCGCCACGTTGTCGCACGGGTTCAGCGAGGACGGGGATGATATGGTCTTTGTCCGCTGTCTCTCTGATCCAATTGGCGGATTCGAGCGCCTGACGCTCCACAACACTGGCAGCGACACCTGGACCGTCGACGCAATCACCCTCACGTAGGCACTGACCTCCGAGGGGGGGCGGAAGACATATGTGTGTGTGTGTGTGTTGTTTGCATCTGCCTTGATATCGCGACATCACCATACCCACCGCACCTCTCCATGTAGGTACCAGGGCGGTGTGTACGAGTGGATGTTTTCTCCGGCGAAAACACTCACAGGGCCGGCCGGTGATGAGGTGAGCACGGCTGGTGGTAACACGCAAAACCCCTTCGCGTCTTGGCCTAGCACACACACACACACACACACACACACACACACACACACACACACACACACACTCACTCACTCACTCACTCACTCACTCACTCACTCACTCACTCACCCACACACACACACACTCACACACACCATTAACACGAACCACCAACCAAACCCCGTCCACGTCATGTGCAGGCGTCGCTGTCTGTAGATCGCGCAGCCTCCACCGCCAATCCGCCGTCCACACCGCTCTTCATAGCGAGCGCATGTGCACGCGACCATCTGTGTCCCGTCGGGTTCCCCTGTGCGCTCCCGCCGGGACTGGGCTGGACGTCCTTCTACAAGGCAGACTTCAGGTGACCCTGCAAAGAGACGTGTGTGTGTGTGTGTGTGTTTGCGCGCGTGCGCGTGCGGTCATTCATGTGCGTTGTATTTTGCGTGTGTACGAGCAGCCGCCTTCACTGCATCCGTGTTCTGTATGAGCGTGACAGCCACGCGCTAACTCACCCTATCGCCGCCATCACCGCTATCACCACCACCACCATCATCATCACCACCACCACGACTATCATCACCATCATCATCATCATCACCATCACCACCGCGACAGCACGCGCAATGCTGACGGGTGGCACACGACGGCGGCCGCTGTTGCTGTTGATCTGCTGCCGACGCCGTGCGGGGGGCTCGGGCGCGTGCTCGGCGCCCTGCAGCTGCCAGGTGACGAAGAGAAGCACCAGTGGTGGCGATTGCTGTTGCAGCTCTGCACACGCGGGAGGTTTGAGGGCACCTGCGTTCTTGGAGAGTTTACGCAACACGAGTTTCGTTCACGTCGCATCATTCTTATGACCCTCACAAGTGTATCCTTGCTCCACCCCCCATCTCATATCCCCCCCCCCCAATCCGCCATTCTATCTCTCCCTGTCGGTCTGTGTGTCTGAATCAGTTGGATCCACACTTGTTCGCCCGCACTCGAAGCTGCCGATGCACAACACGCTTCGCATCCAGTTTGACCTCATCATGGTGCGAATGTTGCGGCGAGGATGGCGCTGGAGACGAAGCGGTGGCTGCAGTGGCTGTTGTGGCGCCCCGGTTGAATGGGCTGCTTCTTATTTCCTCCTCTGTTTTCCCTCGAGTTTGATTCTGGCTTGGAGGGGTGTGCTGCCGCCCCCTCAACTGCTACTCCCTCAACTGCTATTCCCTCAACTGATACTCCCACGTCACCTCTTCCGTCCTGTGTCAGGTCGATCTGATGACGGAGGAGGAGGCCGTGGTCACCATTGACGGCGTCGTGGTGTTCCGCCAGACCTTCAAACCAGACGAAGGCAACCAGCAGTAAGTCACACCCATCGCATGTACCCATGTTGTTTGACCGTACTGTCGCTCTACGGATCTTGCTTTTCTGTGTGGTTCCTGTCCTCGCTTCACCTCCGCCAATACGTCCGTCAATGTACGTCACTCACCCCAACCCACTCCTCCTCCCTTCTGTTGCCTCGCCGATTCTCTGCAGGTGCGGCAGTGCTGATCCGCTGGCGCGGGAACACACGACAACAGTCGATGTCGTCATTCCACACAAACGTGAGTCGGCGTTGTTGTGTCTCACGTGCGATTTGTGCTGCGTCTTCTTCGTGTTGATTGGCCTTCATTCCCTGACCTTCGTTCCGTGTTGCCCACATTCCCCCCTCCTCATCCTGCCACCATCAACTGCCCATCCCCTCCTCCCCGCGTCATCGAAATGTCTTCGTCAAGTGCCAACCGCCACCGTTGCCATCACGACAACTCGCAGCCCCGATGCGTTTGCTGCCACATTCGGCGTCACCCGCGCCACGTTCTTCACCGCCAACTTTCACATTGCGGTTCGTGTGTTTGTGTGTGTGTGTCTGAGTGTGTGTGTGTGCGTGAGTGTGTGTCGGAGTGTGTGTGTGTGTATGTCGGAGTGTGTGCGTGAGTGAGTGTGTGTGTTTGTGAGTGAGTGTGTGTGTGATAATGTGTCAGTGTTTCGTGCATTTCAGTGACTGATGTTCAACACATGTTCCTGTGCCAGCCACCAACCACCACCAACTACCACCAACCCATAACAACACGACCCAACACTAACACCACCCTTTCAACCTGCAGCCCGTCGCCAGGGACGTGTATTCCGCCAACGCGACCGAGTCTGTGTGGGAATGGACGCCGGTGCACCCGGGCAAGAAACCGCTCGGCATTACGCAATGCGGTGCATTTGGAAACGTGAGTTTCGCTTGCTTTTGTGATTGGCCTGCAACGCCTGAACGCTCAGCAGCACGGTTGAAGTTGCCAAGCAACTACGCCCATTCATACGTGCATATCTTCCGCGTACACTCAAGACACAAACCACACACACACACACACACACACACACACACACACCGCCTTCACACACACACACACACACAATCCGTTCACACACACACACACGTACACACACACGCAATGCACCACTCAGATCCTTGGAGGACCACATCAGCTGCATGTGCAGTCCTTCCTTCGCCGATGTTTCACAGCGTTTCCTGAGCACACGTCGCTGGTGCTGATGCTTGAAATTGCCGCCATTGATTGCACGGGCGAGGAAATGCTGGCGATTGAGGTGGACGGGCGCATGGTGTGGACCTCAGGTCCGCTCGCACCGCAGGAAGATGTGTCCACCAACGCATGTGGCGCTTCAAGGTGAGCCAGCGTGTGGAGAGGCCTTTACTCGCGCTGTACATGCGATGCGGCCTTGTGGCATTCTCCTTCAACGTCAACCTCTTATTTCAATGGCGTTTCAACCAACCATGCCATGTCCCTCACTGAATGCCATCACCACCACCGCAACCTTTACCACAACCACCCCCCCCCCTCCATATGACGTTGATGGCAGCGCACTTGACACGCTGCTCCCTGTTCGAGTTGTTGTTCCGCATTTCGCCTCAAACGCGTCCATCGCCATCTTCTTCGCGCACAAGAGCGACTCGCGTGAAGGTACAGCATCGTGTGCTCGTTGTTAGCCTTGTGCGTGTAAGAGCGTTTGCGGGAGTGTGTGTGTGTGTGTGTATGCGGTACGTTGTGGTGGAAACAGCATGCGCGAGCGTCCATTGGTGCCTTGTTCGTCTTTGCTGTATGTCGCCGTGTTTGTGCCGGTTGTTTGTCGGTCCGTACCCGTGTGTCCTTTCTTCCTCACGCACCACGCACCACGCCCATTCTCCCATTCCTCCAACAGCAACGTTTGGGCTGCGTTCATTCCAAATTGAGGCCGACACGACCATTTACGACTGTGGCAGGGCGCCGTTCAGGTCCGGTGTCCTCTGTTGCTCTTGTTTGGTGGTGCGAAGGTGGTCGCTGTTGGTACCTTCATATGTCCATCTGTGAACGCCCACAAGCTCACGCTCCAACACACACACACACACACACACACGCACACACACACACACACACACACACACACACACACACACACACACACACACACACACACACACACACACACACACACACACACACACACACACCAACAGCCCCTGGCGCGTTGCACCACCACTGGTACCGCAGCCGCAGCCGGATCCGCCCGCCATTGAGGAGTCGTGTGCGCAGTACGTGCACTACACGTGCGAGGGCACGGATGACTGCACCCCACGCTACACCTGGAGCACAGTTGCGTATTCCTCCTTTGATGATCTGCAAGTGGGGCCGTGGCAGGCAGAGAATGAGCACGCCTGTGGAAACATCACCGTACAGCGCTGCGGTGATTACGGGCGTGTGCTTGGCGGCGATCGCCAGGTGCTTGCAGGCACGAGCCTGCATGCAACGCTGTCCGACCTGCCGGCCCACCACCTCCTGCGTGTGGAGCTGGAGCTGGTGCTGATTGACAACTGGGCAGGCCAGCGTGTGCATGTGGACGTGGACGGGCGGCGCGTGTACAATTCCCCTCCAATTGCTCGTGCACAGGGATCACCGCTTCTCTCACAGCAGTGCGGCAGAATGGGCGAGGTGAGCTGACAACAACACCCTGTCACAATACGCGTCATGGTACATGCGTGTGATTGATTGCATGCGTGTGATTGATTGCGTGCGTATGAATGCATGTGCGTGCATGTGTGTGTATGTGTATGTGTGTGTGTGTGTCATGTTCGCTATTTCAATCTTCCCGTGGCTGCCGTTGCGTGCTCGTGATTATGAAGAACACCGCCAACACCTCATTCGCTGGCACATCACCATGCTTTGTTCTTCAATATCGATCCTCTCTTGCTCTCAACGCCCCCCCCCCCCCCTCACAATGCCAATTTTCATCAGGATGCGCGATGGATGGAAAGTTCGCTCACAATTGCCTTCAACGTCTATCACGAAGCGCCACGCGTCACCATCGCCTTGTCCTCTGACCTCGACCCCAACAGCGGAGGTGAGGGCAGGGCTGTGCGTGTGTGTGTGCGTATGTGTGTGTGCATATGTGTATGCGTGTGTGTGTGCGTATGTGTGTGTGCATATGTGTATGCGTGTGTGTGTGTGCATGTACGTGTTGTGTTGTCCACAACCGGTCGTTGTTGTGCTCTTCCACTGTTGGTCATCACCTTCCTCCTCACCACCCCTCACAACAACACCAACATCAACACCACCACCGCTGCTGCCGTGACAGACGAAAGCCTGGGCATCATGTCCTTCACCATCGCCACATCTGCGCGTTCGGTGGCGTTTGACTCCAACGTGGTTGCGAGCAACGACGATGACGACCTGTTGCTCCCCTCCCTCTGGCGCCCCACCACCGCTGACGCGCCCACCACCATCGCCGTTGACACGTGCATCGTCAGCTCGGGTGCAGACGTCAGTGTGCTGCTGCCCACGCCCCGTGACGAGCGAATGGCGCGCACGTTCTACGACATTGGGCCGCATGATTTGCTCAGGCTGCGGGTGGATTGCGTCATGTCGCCGTCAGGCCACGTGTATGTGCAGGTGGACGACAGCACGCCACGCGCGTTTGTTGCGGGCGACACGGACCGTTTCCGCGGCCTGTGCGAGCTGGACAGGCGGGAGGCTCGCATGGTGTCGTTTGTCTTCACCGTTCCCCACACGCGCCCGTCTGTGCAGGTGGCGGTGTGGTCCGATGAGTCGTTTGGGCTGAGCGGCCTTTCCATCTTGGGAAATGACTCGCCCATCCAGTGCAAGTGCAACCCCTTCCAATACCAGGACGCTTCCGACGGCAGCTGCCACGCGTGCGACGTGTCGTGTAAGGCGTGTGATGGCCCCACCCCAAGCGACTGCTTGTCGTGCCCCCAACACAACTACCTCACGCCTCAACGCACGTGCACACCTTGCACGCGGGCGTGCCCCGCTGGCCAGTTTCTTGCGTCAGAGTGCACGGCGACAGACGACGGGCGGTGTGAGGCGTGCCACCCTGCGTGTTCGACATGTTTTGAGGGCGGCGTTGCCGGCTGCGAGTCGTGCGCGTACGGATTTATCCGCAGTGACATCGACGGGCTGTGTGAGCCCGCATGCGGTGAGGGCCAGGTGCCTGTCCCCCAAAACACCAATAACAACGACGACGGCGGTGCTGGTGGTGCTGACGATGATGACTACAGTGGAGCTGTGCTGTGTGTTGATTGCGCGTCCGGGTGCAGTGCGTGTGTGCCGGAGGACCGCAGTCGCTGCACGGCGTGCCATCCCGGATACTTTCTCCACCACGAGGAGCAATCGTGCAACCCAACCTGTCCAACCGGCACCTACCCGAGCAGCACCACGCGCACGTGCGAGCCGTGTGCGGGCGGCTGTGCGGTGTGCACGGGTCCACTGCAGGGCGACTGCGGATCGTGTCCCGATGAACAGGTGCTGTTCGTGTTGCCAACGGGTATTGCACAGTGCCTGTCCTCGTGTCCAGAGGGCTTCTACGTTGATGTTGATTCACGCACGTGTGTTGCGTGCCGCGGCGGCTGTGCAGACGGCTATTATCTTGATGCGAGCACGTGCGGCGGTGGTGTGGATGCCAGCTGCGTCACGTGCCCTGATGGATGCGCGCTGTGTCGTGGCCCCTCCAACTGCACGCAGTGCTCCAATAACTACTACCTGCAGCCAAACGGCGACACTCCAGACGGCGAATGTGTCCCATGCACGACCACGTGTGCGCCCGGCACCTTCCTCATCCCTTCGTGCGGCGGTCTGCTGGACAGCCACTGCCACCCGTGCCCGCGCAGCTGTGCGTCGTGCAGTGACGCGCGGTCGTGCGATGCGTGCGCTCATGGATACACGCTGGTGGACGGCGCTTGTTTGCAGAGGGGAACGCCGACAGCGTCGCCCACGACCACAGCGACAGCGGACCCAAATGCAAGCACGAGCGGTAAGGCATCAGGCTTTCCGGCGTGGGCTGGTGCTGTGATTGCAGTTGTGGCCGTTGGTGCTGTTGCTGTTGTGTATGCGGTGCTGCGCTACACGCGGCGCCGTGACGCGGATGGAGCAGGCACATCCAGGGCGCGCCAGCCAACATCAGTGAGCTTGCCAGGAAGAGGGGGGGGGGGCGAATTATGTGCGTGGTTGTGTGTGCTTGCGCGTGTGTTTGTCTGTGTGTCTGTGTGTGTGTCTGTGTGTGTGTCTGTGTGCCTGTGTGTGTGTCCATCTCTCTCTCTCTCTCTCTCTCTCTCTCTCTCTCTCTCTCTCTCTCTCTCTCTCTCTCTCT